AACCTTTTTGTTTCTGGCGACTCTAACTCTCTTAACTGTTCCAAACTGTGAGAAGAAAGCTATAACCAGAAAGAAAAATCAGATTATCAAACACATAAACACATAAAAATCAGACTATCAAAGGGCAATAAATTGAGCAAACACAATAATCAAGGGTGTAAATTTCTACCTTCAATCTCAGTCTCATAAAAGCCATGAGGGATTCGACCGATGTATAGCACAGTAGCTTTATTCTCAAGAGGTTGGGAGGTCACTGGAGCTTTTCGAGCTGGACCTCCTTCTAGTGGCTATCAACAAAAACCCAAACAGAGCGATTCAAGTAAAACCCAAAAGAGTCTGCGACGAAATCGAAACGATGGTGGTAAAAGAGAAAGCATCGGAGGAAATACCAAAAAATCAGCTGAAGGTTTCGGGTTCTGGGGAAGAGGTAGCTGAGAAGAAGCAGCCGAAGCAGCAATCTTCTTCATGTTCTTCTTCAGAGCTTTCTTCGCCTTGGCACCCATGTTTTCGTCGTCGGCGAGAAAGAGAGAGAGAGAGAGAGAACGGAAGGAAGAGGATGAAGATACAATTAGGGTTTAAGGCGCTTAGGTTTTCAACCAATTTAATCCATGTGAAAATGTTTTCCACTTATACCCCTCCCGTCCTTTCTAGTTTCTAGTCTACATGTCACCTAGCAAAGGAAAATATCTTCCCTTTTAGCAGTTTTATTTATTTATTTATATTATCATATAACTGCAATTTATTCTTGCTTGCACAATGTGTGAAGATGTGTTTTTAAGTTTGCTTCTAAATAATCGTGGACATTAAGAAAAAAAAGGTATATTTAGATTTCGTTAAATAATAACAGTGGCGTGTAAGATTTTTGAATTGTGGGTTAAAAAGGTCTTTTTTCTTCAGAACAATAATATATTTTAGCATAGCAACTGAGCAACAACAGCAAGAAAAAGAGCAAGAAGCCATTTTAGAAAGAGGAGTAATCAAATGATATCCAGAGCTTATAAAAGGCTTATTGATGGGCTAATTAGCCTTGATACAGTAATGCTTCATTATCCAATAAAAAGACAAAGCAATCCAAAAAAAAGGGTACAAAATCAAACCAAAATGAGAAGAAGTTCTCCATCAGAGTTACCGAAGAGTAACAGTTCAGACAGAGACATTACATTACATGATTTTATAAAACGAAAGATGATCTCTGTGCCTTATTGAGAAACTCCTTTGTATGAATCTATCAGCTCCTTCAGTTTCTCGAATCCCTGCAATTTTACCATTGTTAAAAAATAAAAACACAGTCATTTGTTTTTTCTTCTTCTTCAATATAAATGTTCAAGCCACAGTAAGAGATAAAGAGAAGTTATATGTGATACTTACCATGCGCGTTGTGTATTCTCCAAATGATTCTTTGTTTTGCCTCTCTAGTTTCCAGTGATAAAACAATGGCTCGAACACTTTCTCTAAGTCGTGAACCTTAACCTTATCCATGAAACTTCTCGCTATCTGGGTCAGGTTCGGTGTTCCTCCTAGCCAAACCTGCAGAACCGACAACAACTCAGAATATTAGCCTGCTTGCTTACTACAACACTTGCTCATCACTAGTAACAAGAGCTCGTTCTCCAACCGTACCTGATAGCTGTTGGGACCATCCCCGACTAGACCGAGCTCAGCCATGTACGGTCTTGCACAGCCGTTTGGACAACCAGTTACTCTTATCACAACAGATTCATCGTAGTCCAGACCAACCTGATCCAAGGAAAGAGTTTTGCACATCAAGATTAAATGCCTGTAATGGCACAAGATTAGATAAGTGCACAGAGCGATCTTACCTTCTCAAACATTGCCCTAACTCTCTTTAGAATGCTGGGGATCCCGCGCTCTGCCTCGGTTATTGCCAGAGGGCACAAAGGAAAAGCTGGGCAAGCCATTGCGGTTTGGTTTAATGGGTCCACAAACTCAGGTTGCTGCATAAATAAGCAATGGTTTACTCAGCTTATGACACAATTGCATACCTAATGGTCAAATAAAGCTGCTTACCAGCAAGCCGGCCTGAGCAAGTACTGTGGTGATGGGACGCTTCCATTCGGTCTTTATATCACACAAGACAATGTTTTGGTTTGGTGTGATGCGGACATCAATTTTGTATTTCTCTATTACTTCTCTCAGCGTCTTCTTCATTATACCTCCAACACGACCACTGTCTACGTGAAGCCCACAAAACCATGCACCATCTCCCTGCAAAGTACACAATGAAAATAAGATATTATTGATTAAGCCAGGCCATATAGTTCCGAAAGTGACGCAATTTTAACAAGGTTTTAGTTACAAACCTGTTCATGCCATCCCAAGTAACTCTTGAACTCCCACTCTGGAAGTTCACGGGAAGGCTCAAACTTTTTACCATAATATTGCTCAACAACATCTCTGAACTTCTCAATTCCCCAGGAGCTGATCAAATATTTCATTCTGCTATATTTACGATCATCTCGTCTCCCGTGTTCTCGTTGTGTGACTACAATGGCTTTCACAGCATACAATATATCCTCCTTTGGAACATAACCTATTGGTTCTGCCAGGCGGGCAAAAGTAGACTCCATTCTGTGTGTTCTTCCCATACCCCCACCAACCTACAAGACGAGTCATTATCATCAGCAGTTTAAAACCAAGAAATAAACCAAAAAAAATAACACTGACAGAAAAGGCGAGCAAACAAGCCTGACACTAGATATAAATAATAGCATCTTAGGCTAAAAGAGTGTAAACTTACATAAATATTGAAACCCTGTGGTTCCCCATTTTCATCTGAAACGACAACAACACCAATGTCATTGGTGAGGAGGTCGACGGAATTATCTGTAGGCACAGTTACAGCGACCTTGAACTTCCTAGGCAAGAACTGGGTGCCGTAGATGGGCTCAGGAGAGTCGACAAAGTTAGTCCCATGGGAGTTATCATTTCGAGCCTTCACTACCTCCGGAGGCTCAGCAGTCATGAATTGCTCTCCGTCAACCCACATATCATAATAGAACCCTGATTGAGGAGAAAGAAGAGCCGCAATGTTGTCAGCTGTTTCTTGTGCAAAGAGATAGTCTTTCTTCACATAAGGTGCTGCAGGAGCAAGAACATTTCTGTTTAGATCACCACATGCACCAAGAGTGCTACCCATGTTTCTAATAATCGAGCTCATCACAGTCTTAAGATTCTGCTTCAGAACACCGTGGAGCTGAAACGTCTGCCTTGTGGTCAAACGAAGAGTACCAATGCCAAATTCATCGGCTAAGTCATCCATAGTCAAGTAGAGCTGGTTAGGGACCTTCCCAGATGGATTCTTAGTTCGAAGCATGAAGGAGTAAGATCTTCCACCACGTTCTTCTCTGTTGTACTGTTGGTAGCTACCGTGGAACTTAATGAGCTGCACGGCCGACTCGTTGACGTTTGGAGCCTCTGTTAAAAGCTCCTCGTTTAAAGGATACCTTATGAAATTACTCTTCTCCTTGATTATTTCGACTTTGCTCCGCTTGGTCGTAGTCTCAGGCTTCGCAGGCTGAATAAAAGACAAAATCAAACATGAGAATCATTGGAGCTCTCTCACAGTTATATCCGATTCATTCCTAAACTCAATTTCATACAAATTAATCACCAATGAATCGCATCATCGCTTTTAGAATTGAAAAGCTATGAATTACCGAAGAAATAATGATTTTCACGATACAGCTGCATGAACTTCTCATACTCCAGAAATCATTTACACTAAGATTACAATCAGAATCTAAGATAACAGAACCATTTGGAGAACATTCGTGAAGGCGATTCAAAAAGCACCTCATGATTTTTTCACGACCATAAGCAGAAAATTCCTTATAATTATTAGAAATCAATAGCAGATATCAAATCTCACCGTGGAGACGGCTTGAATAGGCGAAGAACTCGACGAAGAAGCGGATGGAGGAACGGAAACGCCGCCGCGTCCATATCTTCCTAAGAAAACAGAATGAGAGGATCTCAGAGCGTCGAGCCTCCCAAGTCTGATCTTCTGATCCGACGAAAACACAGTGGCGGCGCCCGCCGGAGCTCGAAACGTCGATGACATCGCTTCAGAGAAAGAGAGAGTGAGTGGCTTTGGGTTGTTGAGGAATCGAATAAGGGCGTGTGTTAAAAACTAATAGAGAACGAAGACAATGGTCAAAACTAACGTGCGCTATCACGTGCATGACACGTGCGGCGGCTAGCCAAGAGAAGCGCGTGAAACGCACCGCTATACTTTTCAACTAATTTAATCCACCGTCGATTGAGAATCTAACGGTTGATTAGGCGCGCGTGCCGGTAACTCCTGTCTAAGAGGCACGTGAATAAGAATATCATTATGCGAAATGAAAATGGAACTTTTACTCTTGATAAAAACTTGAACCGGGATGGCATCTTGGATATATTCAAAGTGAATGGTTTAGATGCTACTCTGCAACTTGGTGCACCAGAGAGTATCTACGTGGCGGATAATTATCGGTTCAGATACTTTTGACGAGAGAATATACATAAGGGCAAAAAGGTAAATAACGTGAGGCTCTCTCACCTACTTGGCCGCTCGTGTTGCCCAAAAGGTATATAAGTGTTGTGTTGGGCACATGCTAAACATGAGTATGTGAGTTTTTGCTGGTGCTAACAACTTTGCTCCTCTTATAATAATGTTTTTAATCTACCATATTATATAATCTTATATCTTCTCCACACACGTGGTTTTTCAAGTTTGTATTATATCGTCTTAAGTTTTCTTAACATATAACATGTTTCGTATTTTATTATAAAAAAAAAATTCATTCTTAATAGGAACTTAGGCTACTAATCAAAGAGTTGATGACTTTGCTTTTCTTTTTGGTTGGCAATCCGCAATGTCTATATTATTTTTAGTCACTTTCTACTTTGTAGCATTCAACTTTTTGTTAGTTTTATTGATGATGCTTATACTCTAATAAGGCCCACTACAGTAAGCACACAACCCCAACAGAGAGAATAAGGAATATGTGTTGCCGGAAGTATTCGCATTAGCCGCCGGTTGAAAGATGCTAAATACTCCGGTGGCCGGAGAAATTTATTGACAATGCGCCTGTGTGCGCAGGCATTGGATTTGCCACGCTAGTGACAACCAAAAAGGCCGAAATGCTACAAATTTGTTAGAGAGAAAATAAATAACCCAAAAAACTTGTTTGTGTTGCTATTTTCTTTTGTTTCTCTTCTGCTCTTCTCTAAGAATGAAGTCAGAAAGAAAGAGAAAAAAAAAAGAAGCCTATTTGGTTTCCTGTTTTTATGCCTAAATGGGTTTTTTCCTTGCCTTTAAATAGAGGAGAGCAGAGAAGCAATGTGTTTTCTTTAATCCATTCATCTTCAGGTTTTGTTGTTCTTCAATTTGCTCGCCGGAAAATGCAACCTTGCCATTAATGGACGCGGTGCTCTTGTCTTCTGTTCGAATCCACGGACACATACGAATCCTACAGTCATAGTTGTTAGATGTTTATCAGTATCTATCACAGAACAGAACAGTATTGGTCCTAAGTGCGTGTGTGTATATAGGTTATGCTCGAAGTTGATGAGGAGCAATGTGTTTCCGGATTTCTCAGGGTAAAAATTCAAGGGATGTGTACCTTTCCAAAAGCAGAATTGTATCTGCTCCGTTGAAAGACCTGCGCAAATTCCGCAAACCATTCTAAGATCCTTTTTGGCAAAGAGAAGATGAAGCTTTCCAAATATTGAGTTGTGTTTTGGACATTTGATTAGCTAACTCTATTACGAATGTTTTTACCTCTGAATATTGATGTTACTGATGTTCCGAAGTAAACAGTCCTTCTCGGGAGATCCCATATCCAATCTCTAGGAACATCGATGGGATTGAGACTGGACTCGTGGTCTGCAAATAACTGCAAGATAAAAAAATGGTAAAGGCGGATAAAAAACCAAAGCAAAATAGAAAAAAGGTTTCACCTGTCTGTTTGAGTTTTATCTCATCTAACCTCGTTAACTTGAAAGTATGTCCCGTTGAGCGGAAAACTTCCTCTCATGGCAGTTCGACAAGGTATCTGTGAATGACGTAAAAATGATATTAGTAAATTGTATTCTCACTTCTCCTTTCTCATGAGCAATACAAAAGATCTAGAAAATCTCACCAAAAGAGTCCCTCGAACTGTCTGTGAGTTTGCTTCCCTCACATTGTTGCACTCAGAACAAGTCTCGTCAAAGCACATTTTGCCAGACGCTTTCCCTCCACACTTCTGTTCAGGCGGTTGAGCCGAATTCGCTGTTTCACCTGGCAGCCAAACAACTACATTAGTTAACTAATCTCAAAACTAATATACATATAACATCCACCAAATGTACGTTCCAGCTTTCATTTACAGATTCAAAATTTCATCCTTCACCAACTCTTTTTCAAATGCTTTTTAGTTCTACCTTTACATTCTTTGATACTGACTACACGTGAAAGAAACATTGCAGTTTTATTCTCACCTGGTGTCCAAATAGCTAGGAGATAAGGACTTGGATCATCTGGTTCTCTTTTATCCATCTGTTTTTTCATCAAATGAGGATTTCTAAACAGTGTTGCTTAAATGAAACAACTCGGGTATAGAGAGAAAAAAAAATTGACTTACACCATCGAGGAGAGGATGTGAATCCGGGAGCTGGTATCTGCAAATAGACGACACATTTATCAGTTACCTTGTCATTATACCTAGACCTTATCTTAAAACTTTTTGCTTGCTTGTCTCCATTTGGTTTGTTCGATGCAGGGTGGCATACGAGTCAACCAGAAACAGCTCGGGCCGGTCGGTGAAATATATAAAAATGCCATAACCCTGGCTGACCCACATGCTATAAAACCCGATTTGGAGCGATTTTTTTCCCAAAATTTATATGAAAGATAAAATATAGGAGGAGATATTAGCTTACACTTGGTGCTCTGTCCTGAGACGGCTAATGTTCTTTAGTTTGGGAGTTGGAATAGAAGTAGCGGTTGGATTCAAAGCAACCAAAGCCTTGGACATGTCACCTTCTTGGAGCTCCATGTTTCTTTCCATGTGTTCCCGTAGAGTCATTCCGAACTGTTCAATGTTGAGTTTTATTGTTGGGATCTCGTCAGGGTCTTCATTGTAGTAAGCATCTTCAATATCACTCTCTGTTATCTCAGTGCATTCTTGCTCGGGCGAGGCCGGCTCTTCAATTATTGGTTCACAGTTTTCTCTATTCGATGGTGCGCCCCTTGCTAGGGCTTTCTCCAACGGAAGAGGTAGTTCTATCATCGGGATGGCTACAGGAGGAAAGGACTTGGGAGGGACCGGAATAGTTGCACTTGTTAAGCTCCTCTCGTCTGGTGCCGGTGCCGGTAAAGCAAGTCTTGCACTGTTACAATGGTATCAGTCATCGAATCTCATATTTGAAATCCCTACTTTGGCATAGGTAATATAGTGTTCATGTTTGGATTACAAGGGCTTATGCTAAAATGATAGTGCAGATGGAACCATGATTTTGTCTTTGATCTTTGTGTTTCAGCCTATTTTTTGGTTACTTACCCAAAATCCTAAATTTTTATCTTTAATTATTGTGTAGAAGTACATGAAAGCTTGCTTACCTAGCATAAGCACTGGCAAAGTGTCTGCACTCTCCTCTCATTGGACATGCATTACAATTTGGTCTACTCTTTGTGCAAAATACCTGACATGAGTTCACATGAGTTAGACACTTACTTGATCAGGTGCCTACAATGCTTGAAATTACCATATGATAAATTCAAAGCTTAGAGCAATAATACCTTTCCAAACGTAATCAGCTGGTAGTGTAATTCATACCTGAGTAAGAAAAGAACGTTAATTAATTTTGCTGGTAGTAATGACGATAGAATTCTACCAAAGAAATATAGCTTTTTCAGACAGATGACTTGGTAGAGTTTATAAGCATACAGTGTTGGTTGATCGAGTTTGCAGAGTCTTGGCCAAAGAAATTTTTGGATGGACTCAAGCACAGGGTATCTGTGAAAACACTGCATGGTTATGATTTGCAAAATAAAAAAAAAAAAAGGGTATTTTGTTGTTTAGATGACAAACAAAAGAAACTTACAGCTCTAGAAGGTGTAACTGAAGTGATTCAGGTAGAGGTTGTAGAGGCACCCATCCCAGCCTAACGGCTATCCTTCCAACATTCGTGTCAACCTTCATATCATCAACACAATTTCCAGCTTAGTTAGCCGGAGTTATTCTAAGTTATTAGTAGATAATTAAATAGTTTGACTCACAGGGAAAGCAAGATTGTGGAGCGTTAAGAGTCGCACGCATTCGACACTTTTCAATCCCAGACCTCTTATGCTCAAGAGATAGTCCCTGTGAAATGATCATGAGCAACTTGTATAAATACTCAGTCTGACGTAATTGTTGAGTAAATCGATTGTGCTAGTGATGCAGTCATTAAAAATGTGGTTTACCCACTTGGCTTTATCAGGAGGAACATCTCTCAACCATTCAAGGTCGATACCACCATGATCTTTAACTGTTCGTTCTAGGAAATCCTGCAATGTTGTAGATATGGTTACATGATATACTGATGTTCAAGCCTTCTGACAGATTTTAAAAGGGTCTTAACTGCAATAGTAGATTTACCTTAATTCGTACCGCCAACATGTTGTTCATTCCTCTTTCCTTGATAGCATCAGAAATCTCACTGATACTAGCACGTCTTATTGCTTCATAGTCTATGGAATCCATACTGTCTTTGCTTCTTTCCTTTCTCCCTTCATTCACCTCCACATCTTTTCTGAGGCTATCCCACTGGCTTGTAGGCTTTCTCCCATCAGCAAGCGTCCCTTTCATCTCTCGTACAATAGTGGCATTTGTCTCGTTGTATTCAACTGCTGTCTGCTCTTTATTGCTGGAATTCGATTCGACCAATATGTTCTGTAAGCTTGTATTTTTACTGAGGGGATCAACCCCGTTTTCAGCAGTTCTATCTCTCGGTAGGCAGCCATCCGTGATGTTCTGTTTGGTACTGGACTGTCTTGTAAGGCATTCTTCAGAAGAGTTGAGCAGATCCATAAATGCTTTTTGTAAATGGGATGCTTTATTCATCTCATCTTGTTGATTATGTTGGGTATCGTCCTGGTGCACTTGGAGGGCACTTGAGGAAGCAAACAATCCCATTCCTAGCATTTCATGAGGCGTTGATGATATGATCTGACCTGTGAATTCTCTTGGAACACTTCCACCTTGTCTGAAAAATCTGCGTGGTACGTTTTTGTTCTTTCCGCTGTCAACTCTTGGTGAAATGGACAGCCAAGGATAACCAAGGCCTTCACCTTGCATTCCAAAATCCTCTATGTCTATTACATGTGGCTGTTGAATCGTACTCTGCTCATAGCTGCTGGAAGGATTGGTCGGTCCTTTTTTTTGCCAATTAGTATCATTGCTTGGCTGACCAAAAGAGAGAGAGTCCTTCCAGTTCATTATTTTGTCGAGATCAGGTTTCTCCTGAGCGACATTTGTAGTTTCTTGTTTCTGAACATCACCAGATCCATCATATAGAAGCGGTCTCTCATTCCCTTGAAGACAAATTTCATCAGACAAGTTTGGACTCCCAGTTTGCACTGATTGTGATGATCCACTGACAGTTTTTGTTTCACACCTGGTTGTAGAAAACTCTGCGTCTGATTTGGAACATAGACAGGATCCAACTCTCCCACACGACTGAAATATCGCAGGATCAAAAGAATCTTGTGATGATAATACTTCCTCTTCTAAATTTTGACTACTCTTCTCTAAGAAATTAAATCTTTCGATTCCAGAGTTTGAACAGTCCCTTTGTTGCTCTTTTGATCCACTATCAACCCCAGAGACTTCCATGTCAGATGGATTTTGAACATTTTCCTGCCACGAAGGAATTTCATTTAAGTTCAGAATGCATCCTTCTGGATCTTCAACAACTACGCTTCTAACATTCCTTTCATCTTCTCGGCTGCTGTTTGATTTTGGAGGGAATCGAGCAGCTAGAGACATGAAAGCAGAGCTGCATTGTAAAACCAGCATGGGTTATTTTCTCTGTTTTGGAACTCACTTTGAAATGCTCATTTAATTAAGGCAACTCATATACCTTGAAAGGTGATCCGTGACATTCTGTGTAAGGAAAACTCCAATGACCGAATCAACCACTGATCCCTTCCATGGCGAAAAACGTCTATCTCCTGTAAATGTTTAAGTTCAATTGGTCATCTATAGCAGTAAAAGAAATAATAGGCACAGAAACTATTCAACTGTCACCATAATTTCACACCTGTTCTTCACAAGATGCATTTTGAATATTATTTGGCATGGTTTACTAGTGATTTCTTAAAATTTTGCACACAAAACATCATTTTTTGGGTATTCTAATAAATGTGTTGACCAGAAAGTTGGTGGTATTCTGCTTTTCTGTAACCTATTATGATATTGTTCCCTAGTAACTTTATTATTATGATTTCCAGGATTAAGTTTTAGCTGGTGTATGTGATACCTATCAAGACATGCAAATGAAAATAGAGTTGAGAGTGTTATGGATCTTCACCTTGTACAAGATGCATACGGGCGATGAATGAATCGGCCCTTCCTCGGAAAACTCTCCTCTCTTCTTCCCACCACTTCTCTTTTTTCTTATCCATCTCTTCATCACCCTCTTTTTCTCCTTTACCCATCAATAGATTCCATATCCGAGTTGTTTCATCATCAAGGTCAACTTTAGGCCTTGGTTTTTGCTTCTTGCTCTCATATGGAACAACCGCACCATCTCCTCTGTACAAGACAAGTGCATTTTGCTCTTGTTCTCTGTTTTTGTCTCCTAGATTCAGATTCTGCATCCTGTATATTATTTCCGCAATAGAATCCAGACATAGAAGTTTTCCTGATGGACCTATACAACGCACAAAACAGTGGTTAAGGAGCTAGTTTGGACACATCAGTTACTAAAATCTCGAAATCATATCACAAAGATTGTAGAATACATTAGTTACCTCTTGCTTTTCCTGAAGCTTGAATGGACTTCCTCCCTTTTTCTTTAGCCTTGCTTCTTGATGAAGGTGTCTTTGGAGTTGTAGGTTGCCAAAGCTGGATCTCTGAGGCATGAGCAGACGGAGGTACTGATTTTTTTCTCCCTGCACGACCCCTTTTTGCAGGCGTTCTGGGGACAATACATTTCTCATTATCTGCTGACTTTTGAACTGAACACGAAATTCGTTTAGATGCAGTTTTAATGATGCTTTTATCCTTTCTTGCCCCATCAGTTGGATCATCCTCGATTTCTATTACCTCAGGTGGCATGCCATGCAAATTTTCTTGGACTACTTTCTGGATTTTCATTTTCTTTGCAGCACCTAAATATTTGGCACACGGTCTGCTGTTATGTCTCTCCACATCTTCTGATTGAGCCATGTGTCTCTCCACATCTTGTGATTGAGCAATCTGTTGGAGCGAAGGCCAACGACCTGCTAAGTTTAGATCATGGTTTTCCATCTGTCCCATTGCAGGATGATACTGTCTCTTCGAGCCCCTGGCTTCCTCAAGATTAGCCATAATTGGGGTTGGCAAAGAAGAGTTTTGAGATACTACTTTTTTGCATACGTCAAAGAATTCACCATTGGATCTCTCATGAGAAAGGATGTACTCATTTCCTTGATGGATATCTTGCTGTAAAGAACCGTATTCAGGAGCGCTGCTTCTATGACATGCACCTGTAGTCCCATTCAAACTCCTGGAAACAGATTCCACATATAAATTTGTTGAAGGAACTTGTGACTGAGAATGAGGTTGAAGCCCAGGCGATGACATGCAGGAACCGACCATCTGATTCAAGTGAGTAAAACCTTTTGGAGTTCCAGGTTGCTGGTTCATCAAACGTACGCAAGGCTGCTGGCCTCTCATAGATGATCCAGGCTGCTGGTTTCTCAACAAAAATCCAGGTTGCTGGTTTTTCATCCGTAGTCCATGTTGTTGCCCTCCGGTTGACATAACAAGCTGATGCATGTCTGTCGGTGATCCATATTGTTGATTTCCAGTAGGTAAACAAGTCTGCTGATTCAAAAATATAGGCTGCTTGTTCCCTTGGAGACCTCCTAGTTGCTGGTTTCCACTCACCAATGCAGGCCGTGGAGTTCCTATCAGATACATAGGTTGTTGATTACCCATGGCCAAGCAAGGCTGCTGGTTTCTTATGGTCATGCGAGGTTGCTGGTTACCGAATGGAAAGCCAATAAGTTGGTTTTTCATCTGAAGCCAAGCTTGTTGGTTTCCCATTGGGAACTGGGTGTTCTGGGTTCCCACTGGGAACTGGCATTGCTGGTTTCTAGTCAATAAATCAGGTTGCTGGTCTCTGGCCAGTTTCGCTTCCGTTGATAGTTTATCTGGCTGGTTTCCCATTGACACTTCATGTGGCTGGTACGTAGCCACCAATCCATTGGTCTGGCCTATTTGTGTCACTGAATCCAGAAAACTACCATTAGTTCCACCAATGGCATCTCTGATCTCAGAAAATGAGTTTGCGCCATTATTGTTCTGGACAATTTCAAACTCAGAGTCACCTTGCCTCGCATCTCCAGATTTCTCCAAGTCAAAATTCAAAGCTTTTCTGCAACTTTTGAGTGTGACTTCAGGGCTTTTGTTGCTCATATCTCCAACATGGGCTGGCTTTTTAGTTGCTGATTCTTTCAAGTTTGTCTTTTGAGCTTTTTTCCTTTTGCCACTCCCGGTTTCTTTAGAATTCACTTTTTCCTGAGTTGCAGGTTTGCGTGGCTTCCTTTTAGGTTTGCCTTCCACGACCACCTTGGGCATGAACTTCTTTTTCCTTTTGGAGGGTTTCTGCTGAGGTGTCTTGTTAAGATCAAACTCCAGAACATCTTGTCTGCTTCCATCATTTTGTTCAGTAACTTCCGTCGCATTAACAGCAGACGCGTCCATAATGCTCTGCATACTTTTGTCAGATTTCGGCTCTGTGATTTCATGTCCAATGGTTGTAACTATCTGTTCAAGGAATCCATTCTTTTCACCTGTTCTGCACAGACTGGGGGTTGACGGTACATATTGAAACGAACTTTCACAGACTGACCCAACTGCTTCTCTTCTGATTGGTGAATTCAAATTGTAAAGTGGCTTGCTACACGCTGGAGTTCCATCTGTTCAAAACCATGACTTTCTTAAGATACTGCATGGACTATGAATTTTAATGATGATATGCCGTAGCAGTCTAATTCATGCTTAAAAAGTTCTCTAACTCATGCTCATACCAACCGAATATTTTAGATCTAAGTAATGTTCTACACTAAATACTGCAAGAACGGAGTAAAAACAAGGAAGAAAAAAAAACTGAAAACAGATTTGATCACTCACATTGACGAACCTGGAATAAGCTATCCCCACCACTCAGCAAGCTTGTGAAGGAGAAGGGCATATGATCGGGATTCAACAAGTCGTCCAATTCAAACTCAGTATAGCCAGCTTGAGAACTGCCACTCTGGGTGAAAGGACCGTTTACCATACCCACATTTGAAGAAAATTTTCCATTGACCGGCTCTATATTACTGGTGGTGTTTCTGATAACTGGTGGTAAAGGCGAAGTCACATCACTCCTGCCCAAAAGATCTCTCTCACTATTACTCCTAGCTTGTGCATGTGATCCCGCTAAGCTATTAATCATCATATTTAAGTTGGTCACGCCCTGATGAGCACCATGGTCATAAACCCCATTATGATCCACACCACTGTTGCAGAATGCCCTCTCTACAAATTCAACACCTGGAACCACATTTAGATCCTGGTGTGTCACTCTCTCATCTACGATCAGACTTGATCTACCCCCACCTTGCAGAGGTTTTTTAGGTGTAAATGGAATGCAAGAACCCATGAATTGGAACTCATGTTGAGTTTGATTCTCCAAAGGAAGTCGAAAATAGCCATCCCCGGGATCACCCCTCGAATTCATACCACACTAGTGTGGAACCAATGAATCACTCCCCCTTCAACCTTATCACTACCTCACCCAAATGCTTCTACCTAACTCTCCCCTAACTTGATGAAAACTCTCACCAAACACCAAAACCAAGCTACATGGACGAACACTCCTTTAAATCAAACTTGGGAAGAGAAGGCGACATTAACTAAGAATCTGCACCATAAAATGCAACAAATGATTTTTTTTGTCAGATATTTTTTCTCATCAACAAAACGAGAAACACATTGAATAGCTAGCTGGAAATTAGGAAACGGCAAAAGAAGAGCGAATAAAGTAAAAACAATATGTTTCTGGGGAAAGGAAGATAAAGCAAATCCGGGTTTTTAATTACCCAGAATCAAAATTCAGGTGTTAATAGCTGAGATTATGATCAGAAATCAGAAAATATGAATTGATGAAAATGATAAACCCAGTGAATCTTCTCGTGATCCGGGGATGTAACAGCTGAAAATTTAGCAGAACAAATTCCAGATAAAATAGGGAGAGAGAGAGAGTAAAAATTTATTTAAAAAAAAAAAAGGAAATGATATTTGAATAAACAGAAAATGGAGCTAAAAGCTCACCGATCTAAGCTTCTGATTCTCAGGCGAGTCAATGCCGGAGAAACTGAGTCAGCTATGCCGTTAGAGAGAGAGAGAGAGAGTGGTGAGATGACCAAGGAATAAATTAAAATAAGATAGTAGCAGTTAGAAAAACTGTGCGTTTGCAATATGGGCCTGAAGCCCAAACTATATCCACCAGGATGTTGTTACCCCTTAAGTTTCTGTATTTTGTTGTTAATTATCGTCATTAGTCCTTTTTAAAATTGTTTAATTTGCAAGGTTTTTTTATTCCTAAGACTAAGCAACAACGTAAGTGTCAAAAAATAAAAAGTGTAATGGGGTTAGTCTTAAATGTTCATTAGAATCTTACTAAATAAAGTTTATTAAATGTTTGTTCTTCTTCTATAGTATTTAGATTTAAAGCATGTCAACACGTTTTTTAAATGGAACTTAATGTTGCAAACTTGCTGCATGCCAACATTTGACCGAATTGCATTAAGGAAATTCAATGCTGAATCATTTAATGTAAAACGTTCATAATCATTATTTTCGCTAGAATATCCAATATTTTCCATATATTCATGAAATTTGGCACAAAATTCTCGTATTTTATAACGTAAACAAAACTATGTATAACACCGTATCTCGTATTTTACGGCTATGTTCGTTTCTATTTGCACCAAACTGTTAAAATTGTAGTCACCAACTAATTACTCAATTAGCGAATTAAACTAATATTATTTGACCCATTTGGAATACAAAACCCGACCCGAAAGTTTATGAAATTGTAGAAACGACAAGTTTCCGCGTGGTAGCCATTAATGATTGTGACGGATCTCTTCCTACCCCCAGTTAGTTTCAATTTAGTCCCTCATCTTTCGGGACAATCCTATTTTAAAACTAAAGAAAGGAGATCTGATCCTATATAGTTTATTGTCTGTTGCTCCTTCATTTTTTAGACATTTTATTTGACTCCCATATATTTAGATTTGTTCGAATTGGCCCCCAAAACGAGGGACCTGTCACAAAAGTCATGAGTTACGAATCTTTATTTTTTCGTCTAAACGGAGTCACGAAATACTATTATGAGATTCTTGCTATGCTTGAGAATTATATCCGTGTGAAGAAAATTCTGTTGACGAAATCAATGTAATTTGGTTCTTAGTCAACATTGTAGTAATGAAAATACGATTTTTTTTAAGTAATGTTTTTTGTGACAATGAGTAGCATATTATATCATCATAAATTCATAATTACAGATAATCCAATTTGCCTTGAAACAAAAAGATCTCTTGACATTATTATAGCTAACAAAAGTCCGAAATTAATCTCTGTAAATTTATTTTATAAACAGTTACATATCTTTTAAGATTTTCATTCTTTGATTGAAATAGATGCAAATGTTCATAATACCAAAAAAAAAAAAATTATCTTAAGAATCTGTTAACTTTTTTTTTTTTGATAATTCTCTCGGCTAACCTTTTCTTGCCATCGGTAATTTTAATTCTTTTTTTTTTGGTTTAATGTTAAACTAGTAATTTTAATTCTTGGTATTGAGATAGATACAATTGGTCAGCGTTTTTAAATCTAGTGGCATATTTGGTGAATTAGGAGGTTTTTCAAACAAATTGAGCGTTTCATAATCATGAGTAAATTTCTTTGTAGTTTTTTTCTCTTTTTAATTTTTTTTGTTTTGTAGTTATTCCATACTCGTAAAAGATTATGCAGGGAAAAAAAAATCGCATGCTACAACAAGTAAAACAATCCACTAAACACCTTTTTAGAAACTTCCATATAAATCGAGAAAAAAAAAAAAAAAAAACTTCCATATAAATAACACCTGCAATATATATTGGAAACATCGCTTTCGCATTGACAAGTTCAACGTCAATGAAACTAGTTAATTAGGTCGATTTTTCCCTAGCGTTTTTGTTAAGTTAAAACTATTTAATTTGTTTGTTTTGTTTGGTTCTAAATGAAAATTAAAGATATTACGGGATTTTGCATTAATATGTTTTACATTTATATAGATAGATTTATTTAATTTCGCAAATATTAAAGCCTTCGATATTACATATTTTAAAAAGTACGTACAACTACACAATTTGTGTTTTTTTATTACCAACCTAGTATTTAAGTTTGTTAAAATTTATACTCCCTCCGTTTCGTTTTACTTGTCGTTTTAGAATTAAAATTTTGTTTCATAATAGTTGTCGTTTTAGGTTTTCGATGCAAATGTTTGGTGAAAATTCCAGTTTTATCCCTACTGTTTTAATGTTTCGGCCAATGAATTTGTTTATAAAATATATTAATAAAGGTTAAAACAGAAAATTTAATGATTTTCTTAATTTGTGTGAGAAAACCTTAAACGATAACTAAAACGAAACGGAGGGAGTAGTTTAAATGCATTATGTTATGGATGTTTACTTGATTCAATTGTTGACCAAGGAGTTATCATTTCTATAGAACTCTTATAGTATTGAAAAAAAGGAATATGAATTCGTAAGAATTATGAATGCAAACTTTTAAGTTATGAATGTGTTACGATTTAAAATATTTGTCGTGGTTAGAGCTGGTCCTAAAAATCTGTGGACTTTGTTAAAACCAATCATTATGCCCATTGACTTAAAAAAAAAAGATTGTTAAAATAAAAGGTCTACAAGGGAGAGAATCGAACTCCACGCTTTAATAAGCTAAAGGAAAGATTTTGTGATCCTAAAAATCATGAAGACATTTTGGGGTTTGCTGCTCAAGCATTTCTATTTTAAGATCAAAACTGTCATTGATTGTGATCACATGTACTCCCTCTGTTTCACAAAAAGTGTCATTTTAGAGTTTTGCACACAGATTAAGAAAACATTAATTTTTTTGTTTTTTCTAAACAAAAACATCATTAACTATATACCTAAACATAATCTGTCCAATAGTAAAACAATATGCAGAATACTAATAGTTATAAAACATAAAAAAATTATTAAATTTTGCATTGAAAACCTAAAACGACACTCTTTATGAAACAAAAATAAAACCTTAAAACGACACTCTTTATGAAACGGAGGGAGTATTGTTGTTAGTTATTAAAATAGAATATTTATTTCATAAATAAGTAGGAACTTAAAGATTTATTTCATAAATATTTCCAAAAATGTATATATAGATGTTTATATATAAAAAAATAAAACACGTATTCGCTTGCTAATTTTTTCATAAATCTGTTTTCACGTTTTCAACTGCTCATAGCTTCTGTGTACCCGCTTTAATTTTTATTAAAAAAGGGAAATTTTGCGGTTTTTTTATAGGAATATATAAATTTGCTGATTTGTTTTGATTTTTCTTGGACAAAAAGGCAGGTGGTAAATTGTCAAACACTTTAGGATCCAAAAGTGACAATCAAAAAGTTTGAGGCAGAATAAGCAAATATTTTGAAAATAAAGTAGCAAAGAAAAAGGCAAATATAGGATTCTTTTAAACACGAACTTGACTCGCTCAGTCTCTCTCTCTCTCTCTCTCTCCACAATTTGCTGCTTTAACCTCTCTCTCTCATCACCATGTGGGATGTGGCTCTATAGCAGTCTTCACTGCATCTTCCTCCTCACTTTCTTCTCTCTCTCTTTCTATTAGTTTCTTTTTTTTTTCCTTCTCCAGATTTTTCTCTGATTCACATCTTTTTCCTCGAATGATCGGTAAGATTCTCTTCTTTCTCCCACTGTTTCATTCTTACGCGCTTCCTTGCTTTGTGGTTTTCACTGTTCCCGTGTCGGCTTTATTTCTTCTCGATTTGCCGACAATTCCAATTTCAAATCATGGGTCTTTTAGTGAATTCCATGTTGAAAGCTTTAAGCTACGATACCCGATTTGTGGGTTTGTAGATTTTGGGCTTTTCTCTGTTACTTGAGCTCTGTTGCTAGATTTCCCCAATTTCAACCATACCCTGTGTAAGAGAGTTACTTCTTGCAGTTTTCTTGATGTTCTGTTTTCTATCTATTTGAGATTTCAATCGTGGGTCTGGTTTTTTATTGTGAAATTTGATTGCTTTTTGATGTTGATAGTATTGGTTTCTTTGTTTTGTTCTATTGCAAAGCAGGTTGAGAGAAGATGGTTTCAGAGACTTGGTTTCGTAATCTGTGGAGGTTTCCAAAGAAACATGATGGTCATAAAGATAAGGCGGTGCTCGGAGTATTAGCGTTTGAGGTTGCGAGTTTGTTGTCGAAGCTTGTTCATTTGTGGCAGTCACTAAGTGATAAGAATGTTGCAAGGCTTAGGGACGAGATTACACATTCCACTGGTATAAAGAAGCTTGTTTCAGAGGACGATGATTTTATCGTGAGGTTGATACGCGATGAAATGATGGAGAACGTTGAGAATGTAGCGAAAGCTGTTGCTAGGCTTGCGAGGAAGTGCAACGATCCCAAGTTGAAGTGCTTTGAGAATTGTTTTAGTGATATGATGAAGACTGGAGTTGACCCTTATGGGTGGCAGTTTGGGTGGAAGAAAATGGATAAGAAAGCAAAGAAAATGGAACGTTTCATCTCATCAAATGCTAGTCTCTACCAGGAGACTGAGATTCTGGCCGATCTTGAACAGACTTTCAAGAGAATGAAGAGCAATGAATCTGCAACTGACAATCTTTTGGAGTATCAGAAAAAAGTTACATGGAAAAGACATGAAGTGAAGAATCTGCGGGATGTGTCTCTTTGGAACCGTACTTATGACTATACCGTCCTTCTCTTGGTTAGATCAGTTTTCACAATCCTTAGCAGGACTAAACATGTTTTTGGCTTGAGTTACAGAATGGAAGCAAGTGATGTTAGCTCTGCAGATTCTGATTTCATTGGCCGCAGCCACTCGGTTTCTACAATTTTAACTCCTGTATCTCATAAATCTGAGACTAGCGGTCTTCCT